TTTTGGAGGCTGAACAGGTTCAGGTCTCATAGCCTCTCCTTGTAGGTCCTGCCCTGCTGCCCCCTGATCATGTGAGTGGCCCTCCTCTGGACCCTCTCGATGCTATCCGCATCCCTCCTGAAGTACGGCACCCAGAACTGGCCGCAGTACTCCAACTGCGGCCTGACCAATGTCCCGTAGAGGGGGAGTATCACCTCTTTGGACCTGCTCGTGACGCATCTATGGATGCATGACAAGGTGCGGTTAGCCTTCCTGACCATGTCCCCACATTGTTGGCCCATATTCATCTTGTTTACTACAGCCAAGGCTGGGGACTTTGACTGGGGTGTGCCATTGCTCCTTCTGGGGGCAAAAGCAGAGGTTCCTGGATGGGGGTCTTGCCCCTCTGCTCAGGGTTAGACCAATCACTATATTTTTTTGCCTTCCTCTTGAGCATATATTGAGAACATTTTTTAGAAGCAAGACATTGGCTGCCATGGTTGCCTTGCTTTACCTGTGGCAGTGTTAGGTCTGTGTTGTGTCAGGGTTGAGTGTAGTTTTATTTAGAGTTTGGATTATGGATTGTACAGAATGGTCTGAATAGGGATGATCCTGCCCGGCAGGGGTTGGACTAGATGACCTCAGGATGTCCCTTTTAGCCCTACTTCTTTATGACACTATGATCTGATGCCCGGCAAGTCTTTTTACAGTGTTAAGGGTATTCCTCATTTTATGCAAATAGGCTCGTCATAAACCCGAAAGATGAAGAACATGCAATTGGTGACCACTCATGGAAAAGGCTTAGATGACTTGCCTAGCATCATACAGAAATTCTGAAGCAGAGACAGGGACTGAGAGTCAAATTCACTACGGTAACATTAAAATTACCTTAACTATGAGACCTGCTGCAATCCTCTGCCTCACCTGCTACACACCTTCCAATGTTTGCACAGGAGATGGAGTCTTACATAAACTGGATTCACCCCTGCTTTATCCTCAATAATGTCTATCTTGTGCACTGAATCAAGCCCTACAATATGTGGCACTACAAAGAAGTTCCACTTTGAAGCAGGAACTTTGTGGCAGATCTGCCATAACTGTAGCCTTACAGACAGAGCCAACCCTAGCAGTATGAGGGGCCCAGGGCATATCAGCCGGGGGGGGAGGGAGCAAACAGCTGGAGCGTGGAGCTGGCAGTGCATGGTGGCCATGCGGAGTGGTGATGCCACTGGCGGGGCCTGTACAGCACTGTCCACAGGGCCCCCCAAAGTGCGGGGCCCAGGGCAGTCGCTGCCATTCGCCCACTTCTCCCCCCATGGGACAGCTCTGCTTACATATAAGAATGTGAAGAAACTCATTTTTTGTAGCATTATAACTGTGTATATGCCGCTACTTAAGTAATGTGTGTCCAAGGCCTCAAACATCAATGCAGAGCACTACTTGTTGTACCACACAGATTTAATCTCTGTGTGCCTTTGGCAAACGTTACAAACAACACAGTACGGGGTCCCGTGAACTGAAGTCATCAAGCAACCTAAGAGGCGGTGCTACCAAATCTTTCCTACAAGAAACAACAAGCCCCAAACTTACCATGTGCAAAAGTTCTCCTAATAGGATAGTTGCTCTGACAGACACATGGTCATCACTGCTTGTAATTACCTCAACTAGGCCCTTCAAAAATAAAATGCAATGTTTAAATGTGTATTTTACAATAGATTTCTTAATATACATACATGGTGAAAATTATAAATATTTTATTCACAGCTGGAATCTTCACTTACTTCTAAAAGTCCATTGGTAATGAAAGCAGAAAGCACCAAAGCCAAATAATTATCCATGAGGTCAGGTCTAAAAAACATGCAACAAGCCATTCAGAAATGTGCATTTCTTCTCTCATTTTATCATTATAAAAGCAAGAAAACAACAAAGAATGTTTTATTTAGCTACTTTTAGTCAATGTGCTACCTTGATCTGGCTCGATGGGGTAATATAGTTTTAGCTTCAGCTGCTACAAAACCATCAGAAAGTCTCCAACAATCCTGAAACCGACCTGGGTCTATAATAAGAAAAATAGGCTCAGTCATTGTAACATTTGACTTGAAAACATTATTTTGATATTTATAGTTGTAATCATTATATGATAGATAAATTATTTGTTACTTTAACAACAATGGTTAGTTATTTGTTACCTCTAAGCTTGTGCTTCCTAGTCTCAGTCTTTCACTTGGAAGAAAGTAATAGTGGTGGTGACAATATGGGGCATAATTTCTTGTATATACAGTGACTGCTGAATTCTGCCAAGCTATAATCTAGGGCAGTGGTTCCCAAACTGTGTGTTGTGACCCCAAATAGGGTCGCAACATCAGTGGATGGGGTCACAGAGGTGGGGTACTGTAGGTTGGGAGCAGGAGGCCATTATGAGGAAATGGGGCCATAAATGGGGTCATGCTGAAGAAAAGTTTGGGAAGCACTGATCTAGGGCAACTGAAAGATTGAACTCCTGGAGCAGAGGTGGGCAAAATACGGCCTGCGGGCTGGATCCAGCCCCCGAGGCCATTCTATCTGGCCCGCAAAACCCCTAAAAAATGTAGAAAATTAATACTTCTCTGCCCTTGGTTCCCATCAAAAATGACAAGAACCAAGGCCAGCAGGACCCAGGGGAAGCCTGGTGGGCTCCACTAACAGCAGGCCCACCTGGCCCTGTCCCCCCAGCCAGAAGCCCCTACGGGGGCTTCTGGCCTGGGAGCACATGGCTGCCCGGTGACTGAACCACAGGTAAGTGGGAGGGAGAAAGGCAGGGGAGACCCCGCGCAGGGAAGGATCATGGAGGGGGGGGAGGAGAAGTGGCCCCTTCCCTGCCCCGTGGCTGGCACCCTGTGCTGTAGCCATTTGCAGCCCACACGCGGCTGTCCAGAGCAGGCACAGGCAGTCCCAGGCCAGCTGCGAGTGGCTGCAGCGCGGGGCACCGGGCATGGGGTGGGTGAGGGGCTGCTACCTCCCACCCCCCTGCGCTGGGCACCACCTTGTAACCCAGCTCCACTGCCAGGCTGGCAACGGGGCCAGGTTACCAGGTTACAAGCTGGTGCTGAGCGCGGGGAAGAGTGGCCCCTCACTCCCCACCAGTGCTGGCCTTGGGACATTGGTCCCAAGATGGTAACCAGTGGGTGGAGCACCTGTCAAGGGGTGGGGCTACCCATGCAGCCCTCGACAGCCTGCCAAAACTGGGTCAGCGGTCCTCCGCCCAAAATAATTACCCACCCCTGTCTTGGAGGGTGGAAGGCTGAGGCTATTTTCTCCTCACTGGTGTATATTCCTTCCTTGCTTTGTACAGCTCCAGTGAGAAGCAAAGAGGCTTCTTTTACAGTCACAGAAGGATATCAGTCCCTGAAACCTTATATAATCTCAGAGGGAGACTGCAGCAGGTATGAGACTGACCATATAATTAGTAAATATACAATGTGCAAAAGTTGTTGAGTATGTATTACTAGTAACCTAAAGCAAAAATACTGTTATTTAGAAATTTAACACAGATTAATTAAGGTTAAATTTGAACTCTTCGAAATTAATTAATTAAATTGCAGGAGATGCTTTAAGAATTACAATGTATGAAATAGTGACCTTTACTGTTTAGCAGTTTCATAGATGCCAGGGTTGGAAGGGACCTATTAGATCCAGTCCAACCCCCTGCCCTGGGCAGGAATGAATGCTGGGGTCTGATGACCCCAGCCAGATGTCTGTCCAATCTCCTTTTAAATACTTCCAAGGAAGGGGACAGCACCACCTCCCCAGTCTATAACACTGTCAGTAACGAAGTAGGTGTCTAAAAGCCACTGATAACAGATTAAACCTATTTATTATGTGGAAAAACAATTGTGCATTAAAGAGAAAATTACTTATAACCTAACGTTTTAGAAAAAAGTCAAATAATTGTTTTAACACCTGGCGATAGTCACAGGATGCCACTGTGGCTTATCACCAGTTATATTTTGTTTATTATAATATTTTTATTTTATTATATTTTATATTTTATTATATTAAACAAAATAAGCAGAAGTGACACATTTCAGAGGGATTTTTAAACCATATGATTAGCACATTAAAAGTTATCTCAGCTAGAAGTCTATCTTGTTAAAATATACCCTAACCCTCAACACATCAAACAAGACAGTATACAGGAAACACTTGCTATTTGTGGGTTTGGCATTTGCAGTTTCAAATATTTGTGAATGCTGAACCTGCATCTTATATACACTTAAAGGAACTTCTTGGGAGCTCTGTGCTTACCACCACTGCCAGGGCAGCTATACCACCTCCCAGCGGGGGCACTGCATTCATGAACACAAACTGTGTTCATGAATGAAGTGCCTTATTTGCAGATTTCGCCATCTGTGGGGCATATGAGAACATATCCCCTGCGAATGGCAAGGGTCTCCTGTACCACACAGCACAATATTAAAAAAAAAGAACAGAAGGGGTGATGCATTTTATAGATGTTTATTTTATTTCTTAAATATTTATTTCAAAAAAATTACTGTCAGCGGAAACCACTCACATTAAAAATTATTTCTCTGGTGCTGATACGATGCAAGTGTCTAAAATATTCCCTTCTAAACAGCATTTCAATTGTAGATTGCCATAACTCTGATAAAACACTGAGTTCTGTAATGTATCCTATTAATTCAAAATGTTCTGAAATTGTTTGGCTTAAATATGGCTTCTGTACCACTTTTACACGTACGGCAGAAATCAGAGGCAGCAGAAACCAGAACACAGGTATTTTGTTGAGAAACAGTTGAAAACATATTAAAAGAAGCAACATCTAACAAGTTTGCTTTAAAAAGTTATGGATTAAATAGTCAATATTTATGTAATTAACTGTGCAGGAGAAAGACTGATGGATTCAATATACAAAAAGATGCAATATGTATTGGGCATTGATGCCTAGTACCCACCTACACTGAGAAGTGCTTCAATGAATTCTTCTGTCACGACAGGAAGAGGAAGGCGAAATATATCATAAAGAACCTCAAGCAGACCTCGCTACAAACAAGGGAAACATTTTCACAATCATACAACTAATAAAGGGAAGACAATTTGTAAAACTATAAAAAGTTAGAAAGGTGTGAAAAATAATGCAATTCCATGAAACAGACTATCAAAGTAGCATAAAACCTCTTAATAAAAAGATATCACATTTACCCAAACAACCTCGTCTACAACCACAAATACACTTTAAAAGTTTTCTATTTGCGGCACTTAAAAAATATAAAATTGGCTAAAAGAAATAGATAAATAATGGTATCTACTAACTGTTTTATTGCCTCATATATCCAATACAAATCATTATATTATGCTATAAAGGTACGCAATTTAAACTACGAAGAGGAGGTAGAACATTATTCCTTGGATTTACCACATACCCGTATTTCCATATTTGGTATACAAAGTACCCCAATGAGAGACTGGATTCCAGAGTTCCCAGGCTTGCATAAACTGATAATACCTAGAAAACAAAATCTACATTAAATCCCCAAACCCTCAGCCCAGAAAAATCTTTAATTACATTGTACAAAATACTACAAAAATGAAGATGAATTGCAATTTTCTAACAGACTGAATATAAGCAGGGATCACAAAAAATGATGATAAACTAGTTTCCCCCCCCCCAGTGAGCAATCTCCATTCTAACTGGCTGTCTGTTTTACATAATAATTAGATATTTGTAAATAATTATGTTCAATAAACAAACCTCTAATCTGATTTTTCTTTAACTGATTATGCCCTGCTTCAGTGCTGTGGCAAAGATCATTTTCTTCACTCACCGTTTTGACCATGAAACCATTTCTTTCTTTATCTTCCCTTCTCTACAACACTATATAAATGCCTCATCTTTATTCTCAAGGTCCTTCATGAGCTATTTCCATACTACCAGTGATGTCAAACGTAATCATCCTCTTGTTAAACTTACAAAACACATGCCTATTTGGTTTTTCCTGTGCTGCCCCCCCGCAAACATAGAATGAGGACTTTAAATATTGCCATAATCCAATCCTTGTTCAAATGACTCCTTAAAAACTCTTCTTAACTGTTATACACAGAAAAACAGACAGTGGTTCCTCAGCAAGGGCTAAGCCTCACACAGAGTACTGAGCCCAGTTCTGGGTACCCATTTTAAGAAGCGGGTAGACAAATTGGAGGGGACCCGAAGATCAGGAGTTTGAAAGCAAGGCAAATGAAGAAAGGGTGGTGGGGTTCCTAATGATTAGTCTAGAAAAAAAAAGATGATGAAGCGGTGACATTAACATTCTCACATATCTGAAAGATAGAGAAAGATTTAGAAAGGATGATAAACAACTGTTTCCTCTCCACACACAGGCCAGCAAAATAAGCAACTCCAGGAAGGCAGTTTTAGGTTAACTTGGGAAAAACCCTAATGCCAGACCATTACATAGCAAAACAAATTAACTAGGGAAACTGTTGAATATTCTTTATTGCAGGTTTTTAAGAAGAGGCTAGATGGCATCTTTTAGAGATAGCTGAGTTGCAGTAGCCTGGATTCCAGGACCCTCGAGATCCCTTCCAGTCCTGCAAATCCAAAGCAACTTGACAAAGTTTAGGGAATAGGAAAAGCTGTGATCACAAGCCATCATATTGACAAGTACTGATCTGGTGTTACTTGAGCTTGCCCATTTCCTTGTATTGACCCACTCTTTCATATTTAGATCACAATCAACATAATGGATTCAATAATGGAACTAAAAAAGGCTCTTACCCCAATACATTAAAATTAGCAAAAAATTGCAAAGAGGAAAGTACTTTAAGAGTTGAAGGAATTAAGAAAGAAACAGACTAACAGGGTTATCCACTGGACAATACTTGCAACAACACAAACAAAAGAAAACAAACATGTACTGTCCCAAATGGAACCTGCAATGAACACAAAAATTGTGCTTAAATTCATTTTCACTTTCTAGATGAGTAAACCTAAAGTTATTTGCCTGAAGAGGTTTTAAATTTGAAACTGGAAGTCTACTGATGACAAGGGCTAGGGACAGAAATTACACAAACCGGTATAAGTGATCGGAAACTGGCTCATATCTGTAACACAACAGAAGTTCTGTGCATATAAACAGCTTTCCAAATGGCTGAAACTAATTTAAGATAAACCTTGATGGATGTAGGATCAGACTCAACTGATTTAGGTTAAATGGGTTTACTGAATTTTGTCCCAGATCCCCTTTAGATTCAAGTTAACTTACAGTCCTCCAGCATCCCAGGATGCTTTACACCTTCCCTGTAAATCCCCCCACCCCTCATAGGGTGGACAACCTGTCCACCCCAGATAAGCAGGGATGTATGCTCTAGTGCCCCCAACTTCTGGTCTGAGCCACTGCAGGCATGGGGCTGTATTTCCCGAGTCAAAAGTGAACGTCTGTTCACTTGCTTATTGGTTCAATGCACACAGGTTAGACTAACCTGCAAAGACTGAACAGATTCAGCCTTAGACTTTTTAACTGTCTATACTGAGACTAAAGGTCTACTAAAATGACGACAATAACAACTAAGGCCCCTGTCAGATGTTAAAATAATATCGAAATGGGATCTGATCCCCACTCCCAACAACCACACATCCTGCCATCCCACACATGTGGCAAAATGCTAGACGGTTGGGATTGGAGGCCAATCCTAACTGCACTATTATTTTAAACAGGAACCTTGCAATGCAATTAGGTTCCTGTTTCTGTACAGCTCCTATACAGAGGAACCAAGGGGCAGCCAGGCACAAACAAGCCTGGCTGGCTGGCTGCCTTGCCTCACAGCTCCCAAGGGAGCTGCTGGGACACAGTGAGCCTTATGGTAAGCATCCACAACCTAGCATCCCAGCTCCCCATTCACGAGCACACTGAAAGCTGCATAGTGAAGCCCTGTGCAGCACTCCAACGTGCAGCCGTCATCCTGCCAGCACTGGCCATGGGGATGTAGCCTCATGAATCTGGCTATATGGCAGGGATACCGTGCTATTCATTCAATTTAAGGAACGAAGGAAACCAGATCCACATTTCTCATTTTGTTCGCCATTAACTCCCTAAACGTGTGGCAGGGTTACTATTTATGGTGCTTTTATCAGGTTAATTGCATCTTAAGTGTAACATCTGCCAAGGCTGAGTAGAATATAGAAATCAGGGGGATATGGGGTTTTTAGACAGACTGCTTAAAATTCTTTTTTTTTTTTTTTTTTTT